AAAGTCGTATATCTATTATAACATTTTTTGAATGCTACTAAAAATTGTTATGATAAACTTTTACATAGCATTGTTTTATTATTATGGTTTTAATATTTATAACATTATTTCGTGCAATCTTTTTTAATTTGATAGCATTTTTTGTTATAATTTTGACGTTAATAACATTCTTTAATCGTCATGGTTATATCTTAAATAGCATTCTTTTATCATAATTTTTTAAATATTTTTAGCATTTATTGAACATAATATATCATTTTCAATAACATTTATTTTTATTGTAATTATACATATTACATAGAATTCCTAATTCCTTAATTGTCAAACGTAAATATTCAATAGTATTATTTTTTGACACGTGAACAACAATAATTTTGCCAATAATAACTTCCAAAACATACATTAATATTGCCTTGTGGAATATACAAATGTAGCTATTAAGTAGATAAATCTAATTATGTTCCATCTCACGTCAAATACTAATAGCAATATACGCTTGAAAAGACAATAAACAAAATTAAATTAGAATCATCCCATTCTAGTTCTTCAGAAGAAAATTTATAAACTCGTGCAACTTGTTTGGAGAAGACATTCGTCAAACCAATGATGCATTTAACTCTGAAAATTAACAAAGCCATACAACTTATTAGATTGTAAATAATGCAAAACTGAAATATGTAGGGGTATACTTATATTCGAAATGAAATATTTCAAACTTATATTCAATAGTTGGAAAAGGCAGCTCTGAGTGACAACCCAGCGCCTAATAAAGATGCTTCAGTCAGCCCCCCAGGGCACATCCGAGTTGGTGGAACAATCACTTCGCTGGGACGCTGGAAGCAAGGGTGGGGAGTTCGATTCCTGGAGTTAACACTGGGAGCCATATGGAGAGGAAGCCATTGGTGTGAACAAACGTCCAGTGAGGAGAGCTTTCTTTGCGGAAGGAGTCCAAATGAGTTGTGGGAACCTGGGAGCCAACAAGGGCACATCCTGCGATTTACCTCCCTGAGCTGCTGAGGGGCCGGAGGTTCAGGGACAAGGATCTAGTCGGACGCAAGCCCGGACACCTTGTTAAAAAAAAAAAAAAAAAAGGATGCTCCAGTCAAGTCTCTGGAATTTCCTGCAAAGAATGAAAACTATAACATAAGAAACTTCGAGTCCGTCTAATGTCAGAATGCAGCATCATTAGCAATGCAACATTTCAGATAATGTCAATAGTCTATCTCCTAACATCAAGATATCTCTAATCACTCGATGAAATATATCACCTATTAATCTTATCAAAAAACCTTAAATTGCTAGAGTAGGAGCTACCGAAGGTTGAAATTTCCAGCGTCAACTAGAGATCTACCAGTAAAAGCTACATCTCTCACTGTCATGGGAGCGGGCCAATTTTAATGACTTTCAATGGTGCAGGACCAGCCTAAGTGTGATAATATACCGGAGTCATTGACACAAACTACATATCTACATCAATTCCAAAACCCATTATATTTAATGGTCTTCGTGTGTCCAAAATTGTAAAAATACTTGTATTACTGAAATCAGATTCGTCTGGTTTTAAATTCATCAATTTCAAAATCCAAAAGCTGGATCACCTTTTTTTTTAAATAGAAATTGAGATAGAAAGTATACATTTAATGATTCAAATCAGTTAGGACAATTCTAAATATAATCTACCACGTTTTTAGCAATCTGTATCTGTCGAATGTACAACCTCTAATAAAAATCCACATGATAGGAACAAATTGAAACACCACTTCCATGAGGAGGAGGATGTGGCATCAGATTTAAAGAGAATTAAGTTTGGAAGTTTGCGTGAGTTTTCTACAAACCATAATCCAATTAGGATTAGTAAAACCCTTAGCCGATGGGACCAAGAAATAATTAATCTTATTAATTAAAACTTCAATCATTAAATAAGTCCAACACTAATAATTAATTCCACCCTACAATTGGGATATAACAAAAAACATACTTGGAAGCCTTCTTACGATACATATCTAGTGGATTTTGTTTCTTCTGAAAATTGGTGTCGAATTAGATCTCCTCTCCAACACTTTGTAATGCAGAAAAACATTTGAAACGACAGACTCCATAGTAGAACTTATTAGACACAATATTTTTTAAAAATAAAAAATATCTTCATAAAATTAATAATTTATTCATTAATCAATTAATTAGTATAATTTTCCCGGCTCTAAAGGTATTAAATTATCGAGATTCTACCAATGTCCTTGATATTAGAGTGGGACGTCTACTAGTTACCTCTTTAGCTTAGACAATTACTACTACTTAAGAGGCATATTCTTGTGTTTGGCCAATGGTATTTTGACACATCGACTTGAAAAGTGACAAGGAGTTTAGTTTCTTTCCATAAAACAGAGATCTTGACACGGCATTTATATCCATGAAATTTCCTAAGAAAGAATTCCCAGAAATTTTCTTTTTGATTTCTTGGAATAAGTAGTGTTGGGAAAAAAACACTTCCCAAGATTGCCCAAAAACGAATAAACTTGCAATGTGAAAATCTCAAATCACTTGAAGATGAAAAGAAAGATAAGAAAATTGGGGAAGAAATGATTTTCAATATATATGAGGAACAATAGATTGGATTACTTGAACAAGCCTCAAGTTAATCTCCAAGAAAGAAAAAAATAGCTTTGAATTTATACCCAGGAAGAACAATATCTTTCTTGTTAAATTCTCTCCAAGCTTTCTCTCCTTTTTTTCTCTCAAAAAATCAGATTAATGAAGGAAAAAAATCAGCTATATATATAGCTGAATCGGGAGCCTAGGCGCCCATGAGTGGCGCCTAGGCTCCAAGTTTCTACGCCCAACTGGACGCCCCCCGGCTTCTCCCTTTTCCACAATTCTCCACCTCGTACATCATTTGATAGACCTCAAATTTTGGACGAACACAAGAAGAAACAGCAAGCGCCAAACTCGGCTGCACCATTCAAACCATGGTTGCCTACGTACCCAAAACTCGGGATCAAGCCTCCGTAGTTCACCTCCACCTTCATATACTCTTCACCTCATTTCAACCCCACCCTGAAGGGCCATGCCCACTTGGGCATATTAGCACGGACTAATGTGAAGCAAGTCCAAGCAGTGCTGAAACTTGCGACCCGTTACCACTTTGGTTAACATGTCTACTGGGTTCTCATTTGTGTGTACCTTCAAGAAAGAAATATCACCTTCCTCTATGACATCACGCACAAAATGATACCTGACGTCAATATGCTTGGTTCGAGCATGATGAACTTGATTCTTAGCCAAGTGAATCGCATTCTGGCTATCACATCACAAGTTCACACAATCCTGCTCAATCCCCAA